TTTTGAACTTTTTAATCTATTTCAAAGACTCCTGAAAAGAATGCATCACTGTTTTCATCATTGATAATGATAAGAAATGTTTCTTGAGCAGCAAATCAGCATAATTAGAATATGATTTCTGAAAGATCACGTGACACAGAAGACTGGAGTAATGATGCTAAAAAAATTAGCTTGGCCATCCCAGGGATAAATAATACAATTGAAAAGAGTTATGTTAATTTGAAGTATTTCACAATATTACTGTATTTATTTTTTTGATCAAATAAATACAGCCTTGGTGCGCATAACAGACTTTTAAAAAAAAAAGTGTATGTAAATGTTTCTCGACATGTACAATGGGGTCCACAAGTTGAAGATCTCAAGTGAAAATGCTTCTATTTTGTATTTTTCTATGTTAAAACATTTTACCCATTACAAATGATATTACTAGCATAATAAGTCAAACTGAAAGTGTAAGTTAAGAAATATAAATTGCCCAATTTAGTGTTGAATCTTATTAGGTTTCTTATTTCAATTTTATATCAAATCATGTCATCATGTTTTAAATATGTATAGGTTTAAATTTGATTCTGAATCCCAGATTTTTAATGTGGTCTCAGACTCTTGGGACCCACTGTATATCTTCTGTAAAGCTCTTTATAAACACTACAGAATTGAGTGCAAGAAAGCAAATCAGACCTGACAGTTTCAGCCTGTTTTTATGTTGTGCGCGTTTAAAAAATTTCTTTATCAAATGACGACCATGAAAGGCCCGTGGGTGTGCCGTCTGGGACAAGGCTAAGTAGAAAGACAATAAGACCAGCTATAATTACAGACACACACACACAGCGAGCATAAACATAAACACATGCACCTGGCTGAACACACCTGGCCAAATCCTCCTCACAAACAGATCTCACAGAGCAGTCATCTTGGCTTACTGATTTAATTGAGTGCATATGAACCACCGTCTACAGGAAGAAGAGAAATGAGCTGCCTGTAGTCATGAATATGAGAGAGAACGTTCCTCACTGTCATCTCATGTGAGACTGCGGGAGAAATTCCACAGTCACGCTTGACATAATCAAAGAACAGAGGGCACATGACAGACATTTTCTCATTACGTCCTGCTAAATACAACCATCACACTGACGTGTAAATTAGACTTCTGGAGAGAGAAAAAGAAGACAGCAGGGATGCTAATTTAACAAATCTGGGTGTGACTCTGATTCTTTAAAGCATTAGTTCACCCAAAAATGGGGGAAAAAAAAGTGTCATTTACTCACCCTCATGTCATCAAACGAAACCCATAAGACATTCGTTCATCTTCGAAACAAATTGAGATATTTTTAAAGAAATCAGAGATTTCTGTCCCTCCACTGACACTCCACACAACTACACTTTGATGCTTCAAAAAGTTCATTAAGAGATCATAAAACTAGTCCATATGAATCGAGCAGTTTAGTCTAAATTTTATGAAGAGTTGTATAAACATAGCCATCATGTTAAGACAGTGTCTTAAGATCTAGTATGGACCACTTAGCAGTTAGTCAATGGGCATTCAGTCTTACTTTTCAGTATCAAATTAAGCCAATCTACATTTTTATGTAACCGATTAAAAAAAAGTTATGAGCAATCTTAAAGAAAAAAAAGAAGATCTTAGTGGTTTATGCAACCAGCCCCAGTTCTTGATTCTCAATCCTAAAACAAAGAGAAAGACAGGCGATGAGAGAAAGTGAAAGAGATAACTGTTCTAGCAGCTCATGTTCAAGCAGGAAGCTTGATCGCAAAACACTAGATTAATGCTGTGAATGAAGCAGAATCCAGTTTGGTGTAAAGGTGCCATTAGTTGGCAAGAAGCCGCTTGCTCTTATCACATGCACTCATGTGTGAGAACACTCCAAATCACGCAATCCACAATTCAATGGCAACTTTAAAAGCTCAACAACAACGTGTTCACTGCAATCGATAGCTCTTTAAAGCCATAGCTACAGACTAGCACACAGCAAAATCATTATCGGTCCATTTAAAACCCTTTTAGCACCACATACTAGTGCTGTTATTTTTAAACATATAATTATTTTGATGTTAAAATACTTTTCCCTGTTTACCTAAGAAAGACTGCAAGTACTTAATTTGTCGACTGATTGTAAACACTGTGAATAGCATACTACTGTACACTTTACCGTTCCAAAGTTTGAGTTCGGTAACATTTTTAAATGTTTTTAAATGTTGTAAAACATTTTTGAAAGAAGTCTTATGCTCATCACTGCTGTATTAATCAAAAACAGAGTAAAACAGTAATAGTATAAAATATTATTAATTTTAAAATGGACTGTTTTCTATTTTAATATATTTTAAAATGTAATCTATTCCTGTGTTGGCAAAGCTAAATCTTCAGTGTCACATGATCCTTCTGAAATCATTCTAATATGCTGATTTGATGCTCAAGAAATATTACCTATTACTATCAATGTTGAAAACATTGGAAACCATGATACATTGTTTTTTCTTCACGATTCATTGATGAATAAAAAGTTCAAAAGAATGGCATTTATTTGAAAAAGAAGTCTTTTATAAATCTTTACTGTCCATTTTGATAAATTTAAAGGATTATTATTGAATACAATTATTAAATCCTTAATTTAAAAAAAAAGTACTGACCCCAAACTTTTGAATGGTAGTGTATACTGTGTATGTACAGAATAAAAAAAAGTATGTATATAGAGATATCTGGAGTATATTTGCCAAAAATGGGGAGTATTCAACCAAAGCACACTACATAGGTCATTAGGCACTGTATCCCACAATGCAATGTGCTTGACCTTCCTTTTCCAGTAAACATCCTATTAACATAACATCCCCTACCCAATATTTGATCGACTAAAAGTTAAGACATTTTCTTACACAAACACAGATGCATGCGAAATAGATTTCATTTCTGAGATGATTGCAACACGCCAAATGTAATATGACAACATTGTAGCATTCCTCAGTTTGAAATGATTATTATTACATAATGCATACCGTTTCACATGATATTTTGAAATATAGTAGGCAGTATTGAATGTATACACTAGTACTGTGCATCTATCATCTATGTGGTGCCTCTATAGGCACAGAAATGACACACTTCTGCTTGAACTTCTGTTCTGCAGTAGTACAAGTCATTTTTAGAGAGGCTCAAGTATCAGATGACGACTAATTTTACCGTCAAGTGACTATCTCTAAACCACCATTTACTACTTTCTGCACAAATGTGGGCTGCTAAATATTTGTTCTCTGAAATCACATCTGAAATGACCTTGGGGAGCCCAGCTCTTGGCTCAGGCCTCAGAAACATGAGTGTCTATAATCCTCTGGCGTATCAGTTCGGTCTGTGAGGCTCAGTGCGGTGACTGGGTAAAATGAAAAGTGCTGATGCCAGGAAGCACAGTGGTAATACTACGGCCCCTCAGCTGCAATGGAGTTTTGTGAATGAGTGATGAAGTAACCATGTGCTAATTGTTGTTACAAGGCTATCTGTACAGTCATTTAACTGGAAGTTACTGTATGTATAGTATCTTTTATATCACTGAAATGTCACAACATTTATATATGAAAGTAGAGAAGCACCAAAATAAAAATTCTGGGCCAAAAATTCAGGAAGCACTTGGCCGAAAACCGAAACGGAATTAATGAATTAATCAAACTTATTTAATAATCAACACTCAGATAGAGAGTTGTACAAACATTTAAACATAAGGTAGTTTTCCTATCAACTGTTTAACTCTTTCGCCACCATTGACAGAAATTTCCGTCATTTATCCGACAATGCTTTCTGACAAATATTCAGGCTTTCAGTGTTTTCTTATTATAAAACCAAATTAGTATCAAAATATCTGCCAAACTTGTTATCCATCACTACAAGTAGCAAACCAGAGAACGAAAAGAAGCACACACACCAACCATTCCTCGATACAAATACAGCTGTGGATGAAAATAATATTTGGTGCAAACTTAACCCCTTTGGTGCAAAACTATTGTTTGTTTATCTATTACGTTTTATGCACTAGTTTCACACTATAAGGCCTGCTTTGAGGCCATTGAATTGTGTATATGTCCTTACAGTTTACAAGCCAAAACAACACCCTTCATCTTGATAAAGCCTCTTCTCACCATGTTCTTTCAAGGACTTTCAACACATCACAATTAAAAACAGATTGAAACTTCGGTTACACAATACACCATCCCATGCTGTTACTCTTCATGAGAAAATCATGGACAAATACTGAAACAATTATAATAAAAACATTTCAAGATCAAGTCTTATGGTTAGAATTTCCTAAGGAAAATCTTTTTCAGTTGTGACTTTTTCAGTCACAGGGAAAACAAGAACAAGTATTACAATTTTACATTTTAAATCACATGATCTTGATATGCTGTTGTACTTTGAAAACATTCTAGGACTGGTATAACCAACCAAAACAATAGTAAACTATTACATCTAGAATTGCTAATGTGTAAAATGATAAACTTTACTCCAACCCTTAATATTTGACTATTTCCTGCAAAAAGAAAACAGTACAAACATGTATAATGAAATTAAGGTTTGGCAAATCCAACTTAATTACATTTGAGAAGTTTTGGGGAAGCCAAGGAGAAACTGCATATGCATCTGATATCATGTAGACTACGGTTCTAAGGTTTGGAATCAGTAAGATTTGTTTTAAATACTTGTATTCAGCAAGGACACATTAAATTGATCTAAAGACTTTATTACAAAAGATTACTATTTCAAATTAATGCTGTACTTTTGAACTTTCTATTTATCAAAGAATCCTGAAAAAAATTATGTTTCACGGTTTCCACAAAAATATTGAACAACTTGCTATATAAGAGACTTCTTTCAAAAACAGTACAAAAAAAAAAAATGTACCGACCCAAACATTTGAACGGTAGTGTATATACAATTGCTCCTGGGTCAGTCGACATTTTTATTTTGCGCACATGTGCGTTTATGCATTTTGGCAGGCGGTTACCTCTGCTGATCCTTTGTTTCTCTCCGCTCAGGATTCCTGGAGTGTCAATCACACTGATGCTCTCCAGAACAGGATTGGGTAGCTGGGCACACACAAACCTGAAGGCCAACCCAAACAAACAGGAGTCACACTCAACGACACTGCAATCCTTCTTCATCCCACTTATATACTTCATTCTTGATTTGAGCTTGTGCTTGTTCTCTCTTTAAAGTGAAAATATTCATCCCATTTTCTACAGTTTTATGCTTCATTCTTGATTTGAGCTTGTGCTCAACAAGCTCTCAACTAAAAAGTCCTAAATATCCAAAACTGTGAAGTTGCAGTAATTTGGCATAGATATGGAGCAGAGTGCCATAAACCATTATTTTACCCCTGCAGTTTGACCAAGTTGGACATGGTAAAACATAAAAAGCAAGTAAGACTTTACATTTTTATAGCCTGAGTAAAAATGTCAGCCCTGAGATGCTTTAAAAGCAAGCCAAAATGTTGTGCATGGCTTTTGTGGCTTATAGTGTGTGAACTAAGCCCAGAAAAATTGTGTCATGTTTTGGAGTGAATCGCTAAGGACCTCAGGCTAGGGAAACTTGTTCCTAAAATCATTTGCTCTTCTTTTGACAGTTACTATTAGAACAAGTTGGACACAAACAACTTGAAAGTACTGAAGAGCACATTCTAGCATGAAGATTTACTGAACATCTGGCACCAGACCTCACGCAAGTACAAAATATCTAGCAGTTTAGGCCAAATATGAACATTTTAAGCTGGAGAGTTTTATTTAATATGAGAAACTACTAATATATATATATATATATATATATATATATATATATATATATATATATATATATATATATATATATATAAAATATTGTAATTGCAAAATAACCATATTTGTAGCGGTCTTGCTTGTATTGTCAAATAATTTAATGTATAATTATATGCAGTAGTTTACAACATGTACACTGAGCTGCTGCTATTTGTGAATTCATAAATGATATACATATCTAAAAATATATCTGAAAACCAGGGCAGTTGTCTCAAGCATTTCAAATGACATAAACCCACAGCCAAAAAGGGTGCATGCCAAGTAATATCACATGAGCATGTTTACTACCTTCTTGTACCAAACTGTGAAGAGAAAATGTATTTGCACAAAGACAGTACATATGGTAAAGAGGAATTTCACCAAAAATTCTGTAACCATTTACTCAACTTCATGTCATTCTTTTCTTCTGTGGAACTCAAACTAATTTTTTTTTTGTCCACACAATGGAGGTCATTATTGTTTTGGTCCCCATTGTTTTTCATATTGACATTCTTCAAACTATCTTCTCACAGAAGAAAGTCAGTCATACAGGTTTGGACTGACATGCGGTTAAGTAAATGACGACAGTACTTTCATTTATGGGTGAATTGTCCCTTAAAAAGTGTGTGTTGCTGGTCTTCTGACAGAATTGCATGAGACTAATTAAAAAATATGCAACTTTGCTATTGCAAAAGGCAAAGAGACAATTTTCTCAAGAGTTTTTCTGCTGATTTGCACAACAAGCAGCGGAGCCTGCCAAACCCTCAGACTACTAAGTGCAGCACAGACCACTTGCACAAGCAGCACAAATAATCACATGCATGCGATTGCATCCATAGGGATTTATTCATAAAGAACTGTCACTCTATCATGCACACTTTTATTGTTGAGTAATTTTCAGACTGTAAATGACAGCCTGCTTAATATGCTGTTGAGCTCTTGTCTGTCTGTGGCGTAATCATGTGACTGGAGGTCAGTGGATCAGACAACATGAGGAAACTCAATCAAGAGGAGGAATGTTGCCTAGCACCAGCCCCCTCTGTGATGTCATCATGAGTCAAGAGGATCATGCTACTTCTGACAATTTTTTTAGTTGAAGATTTATGACCCAAAATGTAGTAATAAAACTAACTATAAGAAACGTTTTGCAGGCAGGAAAACTAATCACCCCCAGAGAATTTCTTTGTCAAAAAAATTTTGGTCTGATCTTTCAAAATTCCTTGCTTCAAACACTGAATTGGATATTGCGCCAACATTGTGTGATATAGTACTAGATAGTTGATATTGTATTTATAATATATAATATATAGGAAATGCAATAATTTTATTGGCAAAATATTTTATTCATAAATGTAAACAATACTCAAATGTAATACTGTTCTTCATTATACTTGAATTACTTAATTATGACAATTAATAATAAAATAATAAAAAAGAGTAATAACTGTGAAATTGTAAAACACTTTTGAATGTAGCGTAATTTAATTACATTCTTTTGTCATTCTTTATTTTGTATCATTGTATGCATTGTATGCATATATATATGTGTGTGTGTGTGTGTTTTATTTTGTCTTCCATCCTTTAGTTTAAAAATTCTGTTATCCATTGTTAATGTCCTTAATTGTTTATACTTTTATTACATGGTTTGTTCTCATTACATTCAATAAAAAAAAGCTCTAAATGTTTTGCTCTAAAGTTTGGCTGAACTGTTCATTTCAATAAACATGAGAACTAAAATAAAACATTATATTGTTTTTATCCCACCTGTTAAGGAAGGCATTGCCAAAGGCATTGAGTTTCCGAAAGGGTTTTTTGGGATCCACAACCAGTGCGTTTCCTGGAATTAGTCCTTCCATGTTGCCATGCATCACTGCTATGAAGGAGTCAGTTGTGGGTTCTGGACCAATCCGCATACCAGGGAAGTCCTGCTCCAGGAGATATCTATAAAAAGAGATTCATTTAGATCAAAACACTTCTATTGAACATTATCATGTGTGTAAAAAATATAAAAATAAACATTTTAAAAGTCTAAGAGTATCTGAATTTAACAGTACTTAAGTATTTTACTCATACTGAATGTAGGCTCAAAGATGCAATAGTCCTCAACAACTAAGAGACGTGCCAGTGAAAAACAAGAAACAGTTTATTTGAGAGGAGAGCAAACAGTTTTCTAAAAATCGAAATAAAACTGAATAACCTCAATATTGCAATAAATCAAGGTCGCCACAACAGCCTCTTAAACATCAGAATCTTAAATATGTCAAGCATTTTATGTCATAATTTTTCTTTCTTTTAAATTAGTCAAATTTCTAAAGCCTAGATTACTTCCATGTTTAAATGGGGGAAAATATCCCAAAATTCCAATGTGTTCTCAGACTTAGGGATCTATCTCCGTAATGGATAAGACCATGTTCACATGATTCAGATGATTTCCGTTGCTGTTAAAGGAACACTGCTAAGATGACACTCTAATAAAGAATGTGAGTTTGCTAAAATAATGTTTACTCTTCTCGGCACAGAGTCATTCAAACAAACCCTGCTGTGGACATGTGATGGCACTGAGACTGTTTGGAATACAGTGTAGGTCAAAATGAGAGTTTGAGGACACTTGGCCTCAGCTGAGAACTTATTAGCTGCGGTTTATGCCAGTAACACAAGAGTGTCAACAGAACACTGGCGACATTTGGATGTTTTGCCAAGGCCAGTGTATCTAATACAGAGGAAGTTATCTATCGCTTTTCTGTAACCCTGTGAAATCACAAAACAATTCAAACAAATCTCTCCCTGGCTCAAAATATACACAGTTGTTCAAAAGTTTGGGGTCAGTACGATTTATTTTTTAAAGAAATTAATACTTTTATTCAGCAAGGATGCATTAAATTGATCAAAATTTATATATATATTAAGGTGCACAACTGATAAATGTTTCTTGAGCACCAAATCAGCTAATTAGAATGATTTCTGAAGGATCATGTGACACCAAAGACTGGAGTAATGATGCTGAAAAGTCAGCTTTGCAGTTACAGGAATAAATTATGTTAAAACACTTATTTTAAATTGGAAATTAGTGTTTTTAGGCATAAGATTACAAAAAACATTTAAAACATATTGCCTAACTTTTTGGCAGCTACATTGATCAATTGATTAATTTTAGTTTATTTAATAAAAAAAAATACATTAGGGTGAATTGCAATATGGATACCCTGGTGCTCAAAGCAAAACTGCTAACACTTTACAATAAGGTCTTATTTGTTAAGATTAGTTAATGTATTAACTAAAATGAACAAACAATGAGCAATACATTTGTTACAGTATTTATCAATGTTAGTTAATAAAAATCCAGCTGTTCGTTGTTTGTTCATATTAGTTCACAATGCATTAACTAATGTTAACATATACATTTGATTTCCGTAAAGTATTAGTAAATGTTAAAATGAGCATTAACTAAGATTAATAAATGCTGTAGAAGTATTATTAATTCTTAGTGCATGCTAACTAAAGTAATTAACTAATGTTAACTAATGAAACCTTATTGTAAAGTGTTACCCAAAAAGTTACTTGCTAATCTATGCGTTTGTCCACTGACCAACAAAATCCCACAACTCATTTTATGTTGGAAAATAACTATGTGCTATTGATATGGTTGTTTAAATGATGTTAGAAATTTTAAATTGTTATCTTATCATTGACGTTTAAAATGTTAATTTGAAAATAGGTAAATACTCTAAAGATCTGGGGCCTCATTTATAAACGTTGCGTACGCACAAAAGAAGGCGTACGCCGCTCTCTACGCAATAATTGGTATTTATAAAAAGCAAACTTGACGGTAAAATGTGCGGTCCTTCACGCAAGCTCTGACCCAGGCGTACGCACAAAAACGAGTGAAATGAGAAATGGCGACACCGTCGGCAGATGGAAGAAACACGTGAAAGTGTGTGAAACTGTAGACCGTTGTGTAAAATAAATGGCAATACTGCCTCTCATAAATAACACGAAGACGTCACAAAGCAAGTATTACAATTAACAGCCTACACGAACACCCGTTTGATCGATCTGCAACAGAAATGCAAATTAACACATATTTGCAAAAAGAAAAGTGAAATGTTCTGCAATAATATTGGCATGTTATACAATTCATCCTCATAAATAAGATGGTAAACAGAACGAAATAATGTACAAAACTGATATTCTCGCCAATGTGTCCGTCTGGCGGAGCAGATATAGCTAGATAGTCAGTCAGATAGATAGATAATTAGGGAGAGATAGATAGATAGATAGATGTATTATTTGTCCACTGGGGAAAGTTGTTTTCATAGTAAAAATGTCTTTATCAGCTACGGAATCATGGTATTCATGCAGGTATTTCATGCATATGCCTTTAGTTTGTTTTATTTTTGATAAAATAACGTATGATGTAGACCTATGTCTCAATCATTCAGAAAGCTGCAAGAAATTACATTTGCGCTGAACTATTTCCCATTTCCAAGTAGATTATAACCGAGATCTGTAGCTTGTCATTTATTTTTTATTTCGGCCACAGTCCGAGGTTGTGAGGCTACAGCATTTACGGCATAAAACCGTGCGCACGCACGCACATCCTACGCATTTTTCCCTTAATAAATCACAATCAATTCTAAATGTAGCGCAGCTTTTGCGGCTTCATGTCACGCCCATAGTTGCCCATAAATAGTCCGTGAAACGCCCATAAGTTAATATTCATCGATTGCGAAATCATGGCAAACATAGAGAGGAAATCAAAAAAACGTAACTTCACTCAATGTGAAGTAGAAGTTATCGTTGGCGAGGTGGAAAAGAGGAGAAAAATGTTGTTTGGAGGGCACAGTGTGGGCATTACTAATGCCAAAAAGGCACTTGAGTGGCAAAAGGTTGCAGACGCCGTAAGTGCTGTAGCCTCACAACCTCGGACTGTGGCCGAAATAAAAAAGAAATGACAAGCTACAGATGTCGGTTATAATCTACTTGGAAATGGGAAATAGTTCAGCGCAAATGTAATTTCTTGCAGCTTTCTGAATGATTGAGACATAGGTCTACGTCATACGTTATTTTATCAAAAATAAAACAAACTAAAGGCATATGCATGAATACCATGATTCCGTGGCTGATAAAGACATTTTTACTATGAAAACAACTTTCCCCAGTGGACAAATAATCTATCTATCTATCTATCTATCTATCTATCTATAGACACATTAGCGAGAATATCAGTTTTGTACATTATTTCGTTCTGTTTACCATCTTATTTATGAGGATGAATTGTATAACATGCCAATATTATTGCAGAACATATTTCACTTTTCTTTTTGCAAATATGTGTTAATTTGCATTTCTGTTGCAGATCGATCAAACGGGTGTTCGTGTAGGCTGTTAATTGTAAGACTTGCTTTGTGAAGTCTTCGTGTTATTTATGAGAGGCAGTATTGCCATTACACAACGGTCTACAGTTTCACACACTTTCACGTGTTTCTTCCATCTGCCGACGGTGTCGCCATTTCTCATTTCACCCGTTTTTGTGCGTACGCCTGGGTCAGAGCTTGCGTGAAGGACCGCACATTTTACCGTCAAGTTTGCTTTTTATAAATACCAATTATTGCGTAGAGAGCGGCGTACGCCGCCTTTTGTGCGTACGCAACGTTTATAAATGAGACCCCTGGTCTATACATCACATAATGTATCTATTAAAACAGTAGATCTTAAATAGTTTGTGCATAACATTCATGAGCTTCACTTTTGTGATGTCAAAACCAGAGGTATCTCCACCAATTTTTATAAACAAAGTGAGCACCACCACTTTTGTATATGCGGCCATGTTGAAAAGATTCAATGTTACGCATGAAACCCCTCATGACATTATGATGAAGTGTTTCATGGGCTTTCTCACATTCAGGAAACATACAGAGAAAGTTGAGCTTATTTTCTTTCATAGTTATGTATGCAGTCAGCAGAACAGACACTTTGTCCACTGAGGCTCTCACGACCCTTATGAATAATGCACAGGAGGAAAGAGAGCCAGAGCCAAAGTGAGAAGGCACATTTGTTACTGCTAGTGCAGGACAATACCTCACTCTCACATTTAAGACTCACCTCGAGAACAAACATGGCCTAGTTATTCAAAGAATCCCAGATTATGTTATTAAAATTAACTATAGCCAATGACATTACATTTTATGATGGGGTTATGAATCAGAAAATATATACACACTAACATTAAAAAGTTTAGGGGTTGGTAACATTTTTAAAGGAGTTTATGGTCAACATAAGGCTGCATTTATTTACTAAAAAATACAGTAAAAACAGTAATATTTTGAGATATTACAATTTAAAATAACTTTTCTATTTTAATACATTTACATTTTTTATTTATTCTGGTAAAGCTGAATTTTCAGCATCATTACTCCAGTCTTCAGTGTCACGTGGTAATTCAGAAATCATTCTAATATGCTGATTTGGCGCTCAAGAAACATATTATTATCAGTTGTGCACCTTGATATTTTTGTGGAAACCGTAATACATTTTTTTCACAAGGATTTTTTCATAATAAATGCTGTTCCAGTGAACAGCATTTATTCTACTTTTTTTTTTTTCAAAAGTCTATACTGTCATTTAAATTTAATGCATTTTTGCTGAATAAAAGTATTAATTTCTTTAAAAAAATGTTTTTACCGACCTCAATTTTGAACATCATTTACAGTTAGAAGAAAAGTTGATTCAAATAAAATTTTACCATTATATAATTGTTTAAAAAAATCTACAACTTGCTTAATGAATTCATAATGTTTGCATAGACCTACACAATCTCAAATAACTGTTAGGCCTAATATCACACTTGCTTACAAAGTACTAACTTTAAGCTATTCGTTTAACTTCTCTATCAGAATCATCTTCAGGTTAGTCTTAAAAATGTTGGAATGACCACATAATGACTTTTCAAATGGATAACTGGTGTGTCTCCATCCACATTTCCATCTCTAAACTTTTCTGCATTCTAGAACCTATTAGTGACAACAAGTAACTATGGCAATGCTGGAGTCATTGGAAGTGTCTCTTGTTGCCTGGTGATCTTTAGTAGTTTGTTGCATTTCTTTTTAGACCTGAAAGCTTTAAATAACCCCGCAGACAAGCATCACACCACAGCAGCGGCATTGTGTCCTACAGATACATCTTAGAGCTGGAGCCAGGCCTGTTCTGTTGACAGGTTAACAGTGTCTGTCCAAGCTAAAATTATAGTATGTTAAACTTTGTTTAGCATGTAACATCAAGATCTGTATTCAATGAACAGAAATTCTCATGTAAACAGATGAATGATAAATCTGTATGACTGAATTTTGTGGCTTATAGGATTGTAAGGCATCTGACATGGAACTTGAAAACCTGGTTTTGGATGTTGCAAATGTAATTGAGAAAGTTATTTAAATATATACCAAATATTTAAGTGGTGCTGTTTAAGATGACTTATAATAAATTATAAATGAGGAATATTTTCAGATTTTACTGCAACGCGTTGTTGTGAGCTTCTCAGTCCTGAATATATCTTTCACAAAAAATAGGTGTGTGACACACAAAATAATCTTACATGTATCCTGTTAAATATTATATTATTATAATTATTAAAATATATTCTCATGAATAACAATAATAAACATTATTATAAAGTTTCCTGGCTGATGTCCTTACAGTGCTCAGGACACCAGCACCTGTTTAACAGGAGCCAAAACACACATCATACCTTATGAAGCTGGTTTTGCCAGTGGAATACTGTCCCACCAGGAGAACCATGGGTTTATTGTCAAAATCTGCATCCTCCAAAGCGGGAGAGTGAAACTCGTGGAATTTGTAGTGCTCCTCCAGTGGAAGCAGTTTGGTTTTGTAGAGCTTCTTGAGTCCTTCACTGACAGTCTGGAAGACTTCTGGATCCTTCTTCCTCCTGTCATCGGTTCCTAACCAGCTGAACATGGTGCAATTCGAGAATATGCAATCTTACACGATTATTTCTGTTTTCCTTGGACAATTATATCACAATATGCACAAACGAGCAGTATTAAAATGAATGACTTTTTTTTCTGACGTAGATGTATTTAAGAGTCCATGGAAAATGTTCCCTAGTCTCTAGGCCACTGACGACACAAAATGCACAAAAGACTAGACCATATTTACAAAATATGATGCATTATATAATATTCTGCGTACATGTCACGGTCAAAAACATAACAAAACAGGCAGCCTTTCATTCAGGCTTTGTTGGAATAAAAGCGCGCGCCGCTAGACGCAACAATGTATCACTCCGCGAACGCAATAGACACAGTGTTGGAATTTTGAAAGAGAAAAGAAAACGAGCGCGAAATCCTGCAGCGGAGCAGATTCACTCACGATGACAGGCGTCCACAGGCTTTCCACTGCAGCAGATTTAAATGCCAGTGCGCTGGAGAAACCCGACACTGGAGGAAATGCCCCACTGCTGGCAAAGCCCCACCCAGAGCACAGGAGCTCAGTCAGGGATGCAGCGCCATGCTAGCGGATGGTGATGGTTGGAACTGCAGCTGCTTTCCTCCAGAGAGATTTTTATTTACATCAGTACAATGATTGGTAAATAAAAACATACTTCAAGGATGTATAATATAATATAATATAATATAATATAATATAATATAATATAATATAATATAATATAATATAATATAATATAATATAATATAATATAATATAATATAATATAATATAATAGTAAACCGTGGGATGTATCTCCAAGAAATTAAAAAAACTTAAATCTCAATAATAGGTTAAAAATACAACAAAAAAGAGCATTATTTATCAGCACTTAAATTTAATCATAACATCTCATACACATACTGTACTAGCTATATTCGCATTTCTAATGTGTAAAGGTAAATCAAGTGTGGTTGAAAATGTCCACCTGGTGGCAAGCCTTTCCAACAAATTATTGTGCTCAAAATAGGAAAAAATCCCTTTTGCCTCAGATGTGTAGAGCCAAAAAAAGTCAATGTTGACAAACAAAGAAATTGCTAACCACACACTGAATTAGATCCAGACTGGAGAAAGTCTAAAAAATATATTTTTATTTTATAAACTACATAAAAGTGCACGTGAATTAAAAACTAGACAATCATGAGCAAAATTTTCAGCACATTGCTTTCTTCAGTGCTCACCTATAATCAAATTATATATAGGCTACATATATTATAGCCTATATTATTGTCAGGGTTATGTTAGATTTCATTGTTTTCATTCATGCGTTTGTGTCTTGTGTTTCCTTGCAGTTTAGTCTTGTTAATCTCCTTGTTAATTTCCTTGGTTTATTATTACACCTGCGTCTTATTTAGTACCCCTTGTTTGCTTTACTGTCGGTTATCGTCTTTACTTTGAGTGTGTTTATGCTATTTTGTATTCCTGTGTATTTATTATCCTGCAACCTCTTGCGTTCTGGTTTGATTATTGAAGACTTTTGAATTCGTACATCTTCACGTGTGTTGAATAGAACAAACCAAGAATGTGACAATGATATATGCCTATAGGCCTATCCTATGTTCAGTTCAGTGTTGATTGTAATAACTTCAAGAAAGACTATGAGGTGGGCCCAAAGACTGTAGTGAATTAAATATAGCTACTAAAAGAAGATAAGCCTGCAGGTAATATTCAGCATAGTTAGGGTACCACATACTTCAGAGGAATGGAAGAGGATTCAGTAAATATTTTTTATACTAAAAGTATATTTTCACAATAAAGAAAGCCTATAGAAATGTATTTTTAAATGTATCACTTTAAAAAGCATAAACTCGTTAAATAAACAGGAAATAGAAAACAAGAAATGTTTATCAAATCGCGTTTTTAAGTGCTAGTACCTATGCTAATTTTAAACCTATAAGCGTGTAAATAGAACACACCACTAGATGGTGCAATAAGAAAACGAAACACTAACTTCGAAAGCCTAATAACAGGTGACTGTTGATGTTAATACATTTTCTAATTTTTCCCTTTTCGAGTGATTATTCTAAAATGTTTGTACACAAATAAACATTGTATAATGATAACAATTTGATAACAACACTTGTTGACACTCACTGTCCAATTCATAAAGCTGTGGATGAATATGCTGATGTAATGTAACAGCAAAGTTAAGCGAAAATATATTGGGTCAACCCTCATAGACTGGAAATTTTAATACATCAACACTTCCAAAGTACATAAAAGGGTGGAAAGTGTGACTATATGCTTTTACCACTAGATGTCTCTCTCAGTCACACAAACGGGTTTGGTCTTGCGTTTCAAAGTTAAATTCAAGTCGAGAACAAAAACATAGGATTACTCGAGAAACTAATGAAAACAAACTGCTACTGCTGCTGTAATCAGATCATATTATTATTACATTCTTGTGAGTTAAAAGACAGAGTCAGATAATAGATGTAATATGCTGTGAAGTAGTTTGGTCATAGAGAGCAGAAGCAAGTTCCTCTCCTTTGTATTTTTGATTAAAGGAACATGGAAGCAAACAACCATGACACGTTTTCCTAGATGAGGGGCTGACTTTTTATGATTGAAAAAGGAAGATAATTGAAACTGGGCTATTTAATTTTCAGGACCTGTATTGTATTCCACATGTCCTTGTTAGTGGCTGATGAAGCACAACAGAGGAGATACAAAGACACACTTCTGCTAAGCTCTGTTTCATGTGCATGAAGGCCTGGGGCTGTTCATGTTGCTCTCTGAATCCCATTACAACAGCCAACTGTTGTACAGTAGTACTGTGACACAACAGTAGTTTGCCTAATGGACGATCAAAGCAAAATAATTGTGTATGATAAGAAGACTTTTGCCCCTTTAGCACTTTGAATGTGTCTATATTCAGCAGGAATGTGCACAGTATCAAAGCTATACAAGTATCAAAGACACTCCTAAATTAAAATGTTGTCTTCATTTACTCACTGTATGACCTGTATGACTTTCTTTCTTCTATGATACACAAAAGAAGGTATTTTGAAGAATGTTGGTAATTAAATAGTTTTGGTGACCATTGCCTTTCATTAAATGGCCAGATTACCCCATACACAAAATATTTTCTTTTATGTTCCACAGAAAAAAGAGTTTTGGAATGAGACGAGGGTGAGTAAATGATAACTGAATTTTCATTTTCGGGTGAACTATCACTTTAAAACCCCTTACTAGTCGGCCCCAATTTTGGCAAGTGAAGCATTCATGACATACCCAAAATAAAAAGGTTGCTGCTCTTAAGTCATTCTGAATAGACACATAACCAACATATATTTAGAAAGCCAACCCTTGAGAGTTTACATTTCAAGACTCAAAATTAATCAGACTGTTATTAATATTGAGATATATAAGCTCAAACATAAAAACAAAAACAACAAATATTAAGAACATATTTATTAAATGTATAAAAATATTATGTGAATTTAGGATAGCAACTTGAAACCACAACTAAAGTGTAGCCACAATTGTGGTCATGCTTCATTTAAAATCTGAGGATGATATTTCTAAAATTATGCATTTTATTAAGCCTATTGTGAAACCATGTCAGGAGAGAGTTTAGAGAAGTTTTATAGGATGCTAATATAAGATTCTCATCAAATATTTTATTGCCCTGTAAACACCCATTTACAGTCTCTGACTAATGTCTGGCGAGGAGAACTGGCCCATTCATGTTCTTTTCATTTAATCGACCAACCTTTCACACCTATGCCGGTATGAGACTTAATCTTCATTATTCTTTTATCCTTATTCTTTTGTTTGAATTCAGCCATTATAGCCTATATTGGCCATCTAAACCTCTCTGATTCCACCCTACATGATCAATCCATCTATTATATTAAGTCTTGTTAGAAAACAAACAATTCTTGGAACTTTAAATGCGAATTATTATTATTTTTAAATGATTGTATGAAATGGAATAGCTTCTGCAAGCAGGTGCATTAGCACAAGTAGCCTCGAGCTACATGACACAATTTAATGTATTAATATTACACTTTTATTCAAAGTTCACTTTAAAACAACATCTAGTATTTGTATCATATGCCGGTCGCGGATTAAAATGGTTTCAAGTCATGAAAAGATTTTGAAATATGTTATATTTAGCATTTCAGATGAAGCTATGGGCTAGCATTTCCTAGCATATGCATTCTGTAAACATTCTGTATTGATATGAAAACCCCAAATCGCACGAAAATCAAACACAAAACACATAATATTTCAATCGTGCATTTATTAGTTCCTTGTTTCGGGTGAAGAGATGTCAGTTAGTGATGTGTCGTTCATGAACGATTCGTTCATTTTGAACGAATCTTTAATATGACTCGGGACTACCGAGTTGTCTCAGAGAGTGATTCGTTCATTTTGTGTTGATCGCGCATGCGCATTGCGCAACATATGGTTTCTGAATCTGTACTGGAAATGATTAGTTCATCTCTCTCGAGTTCGGGTTCGGGACGGGTCCGAGTCTTTCGTTCTTCCTGTCAGTCCCATAGAGGCTATGCTGTCAGTACCGGAAAAAGTAATGATTAGTTCATCTTTCGAGTCTCGAGTTCGGGTTCGGCCGGGTCCGAGTCTTTCGTTCTTCCTGTCAGTCCCATAGAGGCTATGCTGTCAGTACCGGAAAGAGTAATGATTAGTTCATCTTCTGAGTCTTCGGGTTTGAGTCCTTCGTTCTTTTGTCACGTGACTTGTCACCGTATTGAATAGCCTACTAATTCACAACCTTTTTACAAACAAGCACGTAGTTAATGTATAATATAATAGTAGTTAATTAATGTATAATATATAATAAAACACACCACAGATGCACAAGAAACATTTAAAGGCCATGGTGCAGGTTTTTTTTTTTTTTTTTTTTGCCAGTTTTCTAGTTGGTAATAAACATTTAAACAGTTATCCTTTGTATTTTATGTTGTAGGGGATTACAAAAAAGAAATATAATACGGAAAAGTCGGTGATGTGTTAGCATTTACCACTAGCCTAGCGAGGATTCTAATTTCTCCCACAATGCATTGCATGACGTCACATGAGGTACTCGCTGTTGGACAACAGACGAAAGCCCGCGAGTAGTAACTTAGCTAACGGTAGCTAGTGAAAGAGTGACAGTGTCAGATAAGTAAATATATCGAGATAGATAGATAGATAGATAGATAGATATCATAAGCATAACATATATAGATAGTGAGAGATAGCATAGCATAACAGCTTAGAGATAGAGAAGAGTAAGCTAGATAATAAGTAGACAAAATGGTTTATTACTGTGTTTGTGGCGGGTGCAAAAACTTTATCAAAACTGGACATGGGGTCCATTGTTTCCCCAAGGACAAAGGGAGCTTCCGAAGCTGGGTGCAATTTGTCAAGATTAGGCGAGCAGATTTTTCAGCTAAGTTAGCTCTGTCGCCGCCTACTCGAGAATATGCAGCGCGCATTTCAAAGAGGAGGATTAATTTACCACGCAGGGGATGCCAAGATGGTCTC